CGGGACGAGTAATAATTAATATAGGGTCGGGCCGGTTCCTAGATTTCAAAATAACAAGTACTCGGACCGGCCCATAAAAATATAATTTTGTTTTTATTTTCCAAGCCCACTGAGTGAGTAAATCAGTAAGCTCGCTGACCCACCCCCTGTATCTTCCAAAAGAAAATCATAGAAGCGGTGGAAGTGTGTTCGGTGTTCCTCAACTAATATTTCAGGGGTTGTAAAACGTAGATATTGTATATGTCAACATTTAAATGTAATTATAGATATTACGGAGTAATTTTATGACGTGAATGTGTGTGACCATTAATATAATAACAACAAATATTAGAATTTTAATCAGCACACACTTTAATATTCTATCCGTGCGTTACATGACATGAAGTTTAATTACAGAAATTATAAATATTAATATACAAACGCATCTAATAATATGGATATAGAATTAAAATATTAATTTTCATAGCAAAAAGAAAATCATAAAAAATACGAAGTATTAATATTAGAAGTTTTAAAAAAACGCATATTACTAGTTTGAAGATCTCAGTATAGACAATGCCTTGAAGTTTTTTTTCTAATTTTTTCGACGTCCCATATGACAAATTCTCATTCTCACTGTGTCACAAATTGTTAGTAGAAAATGGTTTTCAATGATATCCGATCACTCTTGCTCAAATAGGAGTAAATCGGGTTAAATCCGGATTTGGGCCAATTTCGGATACTCGGGCGGTCCAGTCCCGGTTCCAGTCTTGGGCAGGACCTGATCCCATTTTATCATTTTCATTTGGGAGGATTAAAAAATGGTTGGCCTGGGACCGAAACCCCCCAGTTCGGTCCACGAATAGGTGAGCTGAGATCAGGTGCCATTTTTAAAGAGCTAAACTCAGCGACTTAATATTTAAGCTACCAGGTGAAAAAGAAAAAAAATAGAAAGTCAGGATTGCAGTTTGGTAACAAATGGTATACTGAGTTTGGTCAGGGTTTTCTTGGAGAAGTCGTGTATTAAAAATAAAAACATGCTCTTATGCTCTTATTAACTATATACATGTCACACGTATTACATGCTATGATGATTAACTATACACATGTCACAGGAACTTAAGGATGCAGTTTGGTAACAGGTGTTAGAAGGTAAAAACATGCTCTGGAAAGTTCAACTATTTTCACGTTAGACATCATGACAATTTGAATTCCGGTCTGGAAATGTGTTTAGGTTTGCATTTAATCTCTTTAATTTACAGAAACTTAGGCTAAACTCAGTGTCTGAATATGTAAAAGATGATATGCTATTGAGAATTAAAATTGATTGAACTGTAAACAAAAAATACTACAATAGTGTTAAATACACCCTCCAAGTATTTCAAAAATGTCAATTAGCTCTTTCTACATAAAAAAGGCTCAATTGACATTCTAAATTACAATATGAAATGTTTTGTTATAATTAGAAGGCATCAACATGTTTTGAGAAAAAATGTACATATATCAACATCTTGGGCAAATGGAATCACCATGTCCTGTTTCCTGAAACAAAAAGAGACCTCTTCATATACAATATGATTGGAAATGACCCTCATATGCATTCTTCTTTTAATGAATTCTTAATAGACACACATGTGTTCTGCATAAGTAAGGGTGAATTCAAACTTAGATGCAAATAGATGACGACACACACATTATATAAATGAAAATACAAATAGATAGATTGAATTGATGCCAAAATGAAAAGAAGAGGAGTTGAATTTGGTTACCTAGACATTCCTCAGATGATATTGAATACCATAGATTTTAAACTGTCAATACCTTTAACTTTAGTTCATATGCAGGGTGTTCTTTAAATCAAGTACCTCCCCGTTCAATGGGTCAGACGCGTTAGGGTACAATAGAAGTGGGGGAAAACAAACTTCAAATATGTTCACCAAATCTGCAGCACATACTTCCAAGCAAGACATAATAACTCATCAGTGTTTTAGCATTTATTTAGTTACCAAAGTTTCAAATATACCTTTAACTTTCAGGTCATATGTATGGTGGTCTCGCATAATCAGAGCAACTGCCTTCCCATTCAATTGGTCAGATGCGTATGGTACAATAGAAGTTGGGGAAGACACACTTCCCAAATCTGCACCACATAATTCCAAGCAAGACATAATAACTCATCTTAACCTGTCAGCCCAGCCAGGGCGCACAGAGGTGTGTCTCGGGACATAGTCAAATCCAAAAGCCGGCTTACCCGTCGGTCAGCTGCCCCTCAGCCGCTTCATTTAGAATTCATTTATTTGATCTTCTTCTTCTATTCCCATGTTCTGTTTATGCGCCAGAATATAAAGATAATAGGTAGGAACAAACCGATGGCCACCTGAAAACCAACAATTTTTTATAATATTCTGGAAATAAAATGATTAGGTAAGTTTATACAGTAGAAAGTAAAAGCTACTTGTATTAAGCATTTAGTGGTACATTTTATTAACAAAGCCAATGGATGGAGACCTATAAGGATAAGCAGCTGGAAGTTCCTCCCTTAATTTCCACACACCACCTTCATAATGACCTGTCACAGTTATCTCAATAGGCCAGTGTGGTCTCCACCTTGCAGATGTTGTTTCCACAAGAAGTCTCATGAATATACAGAGTATAAGTAATACGACGCCAATATCAAATCGGCAACTACATCCGAGCATCAATAAAATCAACATCCTATCTCCTAGTCGTTGAGTCGCCCGATGCTCTGCCTCATCCACGCCAAACCCCAAACGGAATCCAGAAGCACCGCGAGCCGTCCGGACTACCCTGTCGATTCCAACTGAAATTGGTTATTTCACTTCCCGTAGCAATGTTCCGTCGGCTTGGATTGCAACTTCCACAGGATGTAATGCAAACTTCCGAGTTTCACTGAAGCCTCTGCTGACCACGGGGGAGAGGACGGACTAACTATATACTCGGTATTAAACCAAGAAGATAATCACGTGAGGATCGACTTACTTCTTGACCATGGAATTGAAACCTAAAAGATGAATAGGCTATTGATATGACCATGACTCCTTTCGCATTAACCAAGTAGATATCACGTCATTCACGTGAGATGTATTGGCGTATTGCTGGCTTAGCACGCATACAGCCATATACAGTGGGAATAGACATTTTCCTGACACATATCATACCGGGTTGTTGACAAAACAATGCAAACAATTCCAAATGGTGTAGATTCCTGTCTGTGGACCATTCCAAAGGTTGAACATGTTTGGTGAATATGTTCAATAATTTTTCTTTAGAAAAAGTAATAAGGGAACATATTTGGCAAATATGTTCAACAATTTTCGATAAAAAAGAAGAAGAAATCAAGCAACGTATTTAGTGAATATGTTGTACAATTTTCGATTAAAAAAAGAAGAAATCAAGCAACGTATTTGGTGAATATGTTGAACAATTTTTGATTAAAAAAAGGTTTGAACAGATTTGGTTAATATGTTCCTGTATTTACATTCTTAAACATTACAATGCTTTATTTATCTCATCAAACATTTCAAAAACAATTATACAGTACTATCTACCGAAATGAAAATTTAAATATTCTGAATTGAAATATTTATTGAAATGATAAGAAACAACTTGTTATTAAAAACTTAAAAAGTACAATTCTTTCATAATAAATTACTAAAAACGCTAAAATAGAAAAAGTACATGAAATAATTGTTGTCCTCTTCTTCTGCTTGGACGCATATCCATCTCATTTTGAAACTTTGTTTCTTGACGACGCCTCACTCAAGAAGTTCGTGATAAATATTTTGGCGGTAAAAGATGGATCCCATTATCCGGCCACTCATTCATATTTGGTAAAGGCATAATATCACCCGCATGTGCATTATTGTAAGAGCACAGTTTATATACCTCTGGAATAAGTTGATCGACAGGGCGGTTGAGGAAGTGACACATAGCATGCATGTGGTTGCATGGCATCCAGTTCATCCTCCACCAGCCGCAGTCACAGTCGCTCCTTAAAAAGTCTACCGAAACCGGAGTTGCATTTTCTATGGCTACTGGGAAAACTCCACTATGATAATTGTGCGGGATTACAACAGTGTGACGCCTTTGTTGCCATCGATCCATAATCTGCTTCTGAATTTTTTCCAGAAATTGATATCCACTTTGATTCCATATTATCTCAGCATTACGTCATTCTACAAAGAGCTGAACAGATTTATCGAAAGTTGCTCTCACAAGTGCTGTAATTGAAAGCGTTCTATATCCTTTTAGGGCATGGTTAAAACTTTCAGATAGATTGGTCGTTAAAATTCCATAACGACATCCACCATCAAAACAAAGTGCCCACTTCTCTTTAGGAATGACATCAAGATAGTTGAATGCTCTTTCATTAGCACCCCGAATTTGTTGCATGTAGTTAGTGATTTCATTTAGAATGGGGGTACTTCCGGCACGCCAACACAATCTTTTTAGATTCTTGCTTCGAAACTGGGACATAAAATTACTTCGAATGTGTCGAAGACAATATCGCCTCTGAATTAGAGGTGTTCCCAATTGTGGCACATTCCGGAACGCACAATCAATAGCGACATGTCAGTCAGATATTATGCAAACATTCCGATAGGAACGAATAATATTTGTCGTAACTAACTGTAAAAACCACGTACAACTATCCCCGTTTTCACTATCAACCACCCCAAAAGCTAGAGGAAAGATTTCACGGTTAGCATTCATTGCCATCGCGACCAACAAAGTGCCTTTGTATTTACTATACAAATGTGTACCATCAATGGAAATGAACGGAAGACAGTGATTGAAACCGTCAATCGCTGCTTTGATTGACCAAAATGCGTACTTAAATTCATGTGTACCTTGTGTATCGGTTTGGTCTGTTCTTAGGTCGACAATGGTGCCCGGATTACTAAATGTCATACCTTGTAGAAGTTTTGGGAGATCATTGTACGCTGCCTCCCATTGTACTAAATGTCATACCTTGTAGAAGTTTTGGGAGATCATTGTATGCTGAATATTATGGCAATAACATTCATATTACTCCGTATTAAACTTATAATACTACATCACACAAAGATATTATTACATTAATGTTAATACTATTACGGTAATATAAATATTATAAACTAATATTGTGAGCTCGGCCCTGCACCGCCGGTCGCTCCACTGAGGTGATCATTGCCAAATATCTCAACCCAACTAAAATTAGGCCACTGTTGATGTTCGGGAACTTCATGCGTGTGATAGGAACTACCAACTGTGGATGAGGGCTCAGTAAGTGGGAGACCGTCAATCGGTAACCCCATCAGCACTTGTACATCTTGAGAGGTAATGCCTACCTTGCCAAAAGGTAAATGGAAAGCATGTGTTTCTGGTCTCCACCTCTCAACCAATGCGGTGATAAGACCCCAATCAATTTTGATTTTTACTAATCGTTCAGCTACGTGAAAGCCTGATGCCCTCAGCAGTTCTACGACTCTAGGATGACATTCGTCATCGTCCTTGGCAGATTTCGGGTAAGTAATGCACCTCAGTTTCAAGACTCTCAACGCTTCACTTTTTCCCACATTATCAGCACGATGTTCTCCAGGTATCATCACTAATACGGAACGTTTTATGAGCCCGGGGTGGGGGTGTTCTCTTTGTGTAGCCATGAAAACCTAATAATATATTAAATTAAGTTCTAATAAATACTTATATTTGTAATACGAATTATAAATGTAATGAAACAACGCTATTATAATACAATTTGTAATACTCCGTACCAATTTACAAATGTAATTAAACAACACTATTTATAAAAGAAATTATATAGCTAATTAAACAACACTACTTATAATACAATTTGTAATACAAATAAATACACCCAATTAAACAACAACATATTTCGTTAACTATAGACTAATACTAATACACTAATATTTCGTTAATTAACACAAATTATAGACTAATTTCTACACTGAAATAGGAAAGATTTCTACAAATGAATGGTGAAAAAATTATCCAAAAAAGGTTAACATGCACATTAGTAAATTTATACATACATATTTGGTAAATTAACACTAATCTTTCATATTTGGTAAATAAACTAATATTTGGTTAGTTTCCTGTTTCACTTTTTTGTTTAGGTTCCTAATTCACAATTACAAATTACACTATTATAGAGTAATTTCATTCCTAAATTACTAACTTAAATTATTAACTAAATTAAACTATTAAATTGGAAAAACTTAATTAAATTATTAATTAATTTGGAGAAAGAGATGACCGAAAGTAACATAACCTAACGTTACGTAATTTGGAGAAGATATAACTTAACGTTAAATTATGTGGGAATATAATTTGGAGAAGGAGATGACTGTAAGTATTAATTTCATTCCTACTTCTACAAATTAACATAATTAAATTATTAACTAAATTAAACTTAAAAAAAGATTAAGGAAAAACTTACTTGGGTTAAGATGAAGGAGATGGCCGAAATTTGGAGAAGAAGAGAAATTGGAACGGTTAGATGTGTTGTGAAGTGAGATTTGTGGTGGATTTTATAGAGCATATTTGCCAAATATGTTGGAGCAATTGGCAATTCGAACCAACTTATTCTGACCAATGGGAAGACTGACATATTTGGCAAATATGTTGGACATATATCAATTTAATTCGTCTGGATTCACCAAATGTGCTTCAGTAAAAGCCGATCCAAGCCCTTCACTTCACGATCCTCGATGGCGATCCGCGCCTAATACTCTTGACCAATAGGAAGACTGACATATTTGGCAAATATGTCCAGATACATATTTTTTCTTTTTGCAAATACTGAACATATTTGTCAAATATGTTAAACCTTTTCAACCAATAATTCAATCAAACCTACACCTTTTGGAAACACCGGCAAGAAACATGCCCTTTTCTGTCATTTACTCGTTCTCATCATGTGGCCAAGGTATGATAGATAAATAAAGCATTGTAATGTTTAAGAATGTAAATACAGGAACATATTAACCAAATCTGTTCAAACCTTTTTTTAATCAAAAATTGTTCAACATATTCACCAAATACGTTGCTTGATTTCTTCTTTTTTTTTAATCGAAAATTGTACAACATATTCACTGAATACGTTGCTTGATTTCTTCTTCTTTTTTATCGAAAATTGTTGAACATATTTGCCAAATATGTTCCCTTATTACTTTTTCTAAAGAAAAATTATTGAAAATATTTACTAAACATGTTCAACCTTTGGAATGATCTACAGACAGGAATCTATACCATTTGGAATTGTCGACAAAGATTCTGCACTGTTTTGTCAATAACCCGATGAGAACCGTTTTGGGCCACAGGGTCAACTCAACATTTAATTAAAATTGTTTCAAGCATGTGAGTCTCGGACATGGTACTTACTTTTTGAATTGACATGCTTGACTAATGGTTTGAATAGATCTTTCTCTATTTTCATTTATTTTTATTCATTATATTGATGTGACACTTTAGTACGTGAGTCATGGTCTTCTATTCTTTGATCTTTGGTCTCTACTATTTGGAGATGCTATGACACTAAGAGCATCTCCAATGCTATAATGTCCACGGTGCACATGTGTAATGAGTGATAGCCACGTAATATTAGGAAATAAATTATCTCTCTCCTTATTTGAATGATTTTATACAATTTTGATAAGTTTTTCCCTGCAATGTCAACATCTAGACAGTCTCCTTGACATTGTAGAGAAAAACTTACCAAAACTGTATAAAATCATTCAAATAAGGAGAGAAAGAATTTATTTACTAATATTTATGTGGCTATTTCTCATGCCACGTGTGCGCCATCCACATTTTACCATTGGAGATGCTCTAAGAGGCCGTTTGGCAACACCGTTTTTTAGCTTATCAGCCAACTTTTTCACCAAACACACAACTTTTGTTTTTGCGCGCTAAATTATGAAATAAGCCGAAAAAGTAAGGTTAGGGTTACTTTTCTGGCTGTATTGGCTGAAGTTATTGTAGATAACCATTTTGGTTATTTTTACATATAATTTTTTCTTTATTTTATTAATAAAATATATTTTAAAAATAATTTTTTCTTAAATAAGCAGAATCATTCAAATCAACCGATTTTGGTGCTACCAAACGGGCTCTAAAAGTTAGTAATCTATGAGCTCTGAAATTTGAAGGTTGAATCCGTTTTCTCTTATGAATATTGGTCTTGTTTGGCAATCGGCTGTTAGCTGTTAGTTGTTAGCTGGTTATGTCAGCCGTTTGATCACAGCTGGTTATGTTAGCTGTTTTGATTGGCTGGTTATGTTAGTTTGTTGCTAATAAATGTTTGGTAAAATTAACTGTTATAAACAGCTGTTTGAGTGTAAATAGACGTATAAGGACACGGGTGTATATATAATATTTGAGTAATGCTGATAATGATAATGTTAAAACTATAATTTATTTGCAAAATAAATTATTTAAGAAAAACAATTTTTTATTTGAAATGTAAAAAGAATAAATTAAATTTTAAAATAAAAGTATAATAAATCTAAAAAAATAAATCTTTTCGAAAGAAATTAGATGACTTTATATTAGAAAAAACATCAATAGCGTCGATTACGAAAAAGAATAAACACGTGTCTCAAACAATTCATTAATACTAATAAAAAGTAAAACCGCGTCTCAAACATTTGACATACTTAGTTTAGCTTAAAATAAAGTAAAGTTGGTCAAAATTATTTATGTTATACACTTATACTACATTTTATGTTATTAAGTAAACAAATTAAAATACAATAAGGTTTTATTAATAAACCCCCGATCTAAATGTCACATACGGCATTATTTTACGAGCGAAAAATGAATTCTATCTGACATTTAGGATTATTAATAATAGCCGACAATAATTGAGATTATCAATTTTTCCTATTTTTAAAAAACCCTCATATTTCAAACATAAAAGTTAATTTAAAAGGCTAATAGGTCATTAATTTGTATTTTTCCTTAAATAAAATCGTCCGATGGCTTCTATCCCACAAAGAAAAAAAATTATCTTTGTACCTAGACTTTCCACATGATGACGAAGGGTTTCAGATGCCATCTGACAAATCCAAAATTTCGGATATGGGCATAGACGGAAAAAAAATAGTATAAGCCGAGATTAGATGTAAACGTTGGGTGGTCTGGCTTTTCAAATTTCGGCTTCTTCGTATGGATAAGCCGAATTGAGAAGTTGATTATCAAACAACATTTTTTGGCTTTTAATCTAGTCAAACATCTATTTTGAGTCAAACAAGCTGAAAAACGGCTGATAAGCTGTTTGCCAAACAACCCCATTGTGTGGAGTAGGAATGATTGTATATCTCAAATACAATGTACAGGTGTGTTTATATACACGTAAGGGCTAACTATGAAGACTAATAAGATAATTATGACTAGCTACAAATGTGGAGATAATAATGTAAAATAACAACCTATCTAACCGTATATACATAGTGATATGAATAATAATTAATTAATAATATTATGGTACTTTCAATATATTGCAACCTGCATTTGTTTGATTGTTTTATGGATCGGAGTTATGGGTATTATTTTTGCCAATAAATATTTGTTTCAAAAGTACTTAAACGTGCTATACAAAATTACAAATTACGAAAGAAAAAAAAACTGCTAGTCATTTTTTTTTACAAATTACGAATAAAACTGCTAGTCATTTGATTTCTAATATATATCTCTCCCTCTAGGCTCTGATTGCAGTAGATAACTAGGAACCTAGATATCATTTTCATTGAACTAAAATGTAAAATAAATGATAATACTAATAGTTATGGGCCTCTTGCTTTAGCCTTCATCAATAAATCTTACTGGGTAAAATAAATGATAACACTATATAAATTAACTTACTGCTTATCTTGTTATATAGATAGGTTCTATTTTTAAAGTATAAAATATGACTTTCTCATTTGTAAGGAAATGTATTAATTAGGAAAGAGTGATTTGGGAACTTAACAATGATGATGTTGATTTTTGAAACTTCTTTCATTAGATTGTTTGGAACTTGTGTTAATTGTGCACTTTGTTGAGTATGGATGTTTTCTTTTGGACTGAAATTTGCTGGTCTGATCTGGTCTGGTCTGTTTAAGTCTGGTCTGGTCTGTTTAAGTCTGATCTGTTCTGTTTAAGTCTGGTCTGGTCTGGTCTGGTCTGAACTGGTCTGGTCTGTTCTGGTCTAGTAAACGTCTGGTCTATGTGTATTTTATAACTACGGAAGTCTGGTCCGGTCTGTTTAAGTTTGGTCTGATCTGGTCTGTTTAAGTCTGGTCTGGTCTGGTCTGGTCTGGTCTGGGACTAAAAACAGTCCAAAAGAAAACATCCATAAAATTGCCAATGCACTACATTATTGAATTTTCAAACTTCATAAAATTTTACTACTTTTTTTAGAAAGAAACAGGAACAAAAAATAAACTTGTCAATTCACTTATTTTTACTAGTTTAAAAAAAACATGAACCAAAAAACTCGGATCGGACCGACCCGTTTCAAACGGGCCAGATAAGGTTCGGTTCCTATTTTGAAAATTACAATACCCTGATCGGATTGACTCGTATAATGAAACCGGGGGTTCCATTTAATTTTACATTACCCGCCCCAACCAGGCACATGTACATGTACGCACTTAAGCACTTTGTACATACTTTCCACCGATTTGTTAGATGGCACATTACACCACTTTTTATATATAAATCATATTTTTCTTTTTTCTTTTCTTAATTCTTATGAGCTACTCTAACACAATAACAGAAGAAAATGTACTTTCTTTTTTGGAGAAAATGTACTTTCTATTACATTAATAATAGATTTGTATTTTTTCCAAATTTTTCAATATTAAAAATATATAGCTAGCCATAGCCCATAGCTAACTTTCCCCCCATGTTTAAACTTGTGTATATAACTTTTTCTTAGCTATTTAGTTATAATTCAGCATGTTTGATCGCTTGAGCCAGAGTTTCATTAAATTCAACAAATTCAGGTAATTCACTCAATTTCAGTGTTATCAAATGTGTTCTACGTTGGACCAGGTCAAATCACACCAGACTGAAACATACATTTTATCAAACACGTAATTTTTAATTTCACACGCTGAATTGTGCAATATTCAAAATAAGTAAGGTCGGAGTTACTTTTTTGACTGAATTGCCTGAAGTTGCTGTAAAATTAAATACCATTTCAGCTATTTTTCATATAATTTTTTCTTTATTTTTAAATTGAATATGTCTTAAATATAATTTTTCATATTTAACAAATTCAACCAACTTCAGTGTTACCAAACGAGCCCTAATAGTACTCTCTCCGTCCTTTATAACTTTTTCAGCTTTCCTGTTTTGTTTGTCCAAAAAATTTTGTCACTTTTCCTTCTAATCAATCAATTTGTGACTCCTGTTATTTCTCTCATCTGCACAAATCTCTACTACTCATTTTTTCTTTATTATTCTACGTGCGGACGTGCCGGTCACATTTGGCAAACCTTTAAGA